GGTCGTATTCCGCTCAGAAACAAATCACGGAACTTTCTCTTTTTTTATCAAGATTATTGTGTTACGATTTGTTGGGTACACAGTCTTGATTCAGATGTGTGTGAAGTACACGTCACAAATCTGAAATTCATTCAACAGCAAACAGAAATGGATAGATGGCACAGCCGCAATAAACACTGGAGACGGGATTGGACATGAGGAATTCGCTGTCGGACAATTTTTCAGTGACAATAGAACCACGTTCGCGGAGGAACTATTGAAGGAAGCGGTCGAGTGATTAGACCGCTATTAAGTTAGCTTACACATTCAACCATCACCAACAACAACGACCATGACAAAAACAGAACCAATCAAAAGAAAACATCATGAAGTCAGCAGATCCTCTGGTGAAAACCACAGAGGAATTAGTTTAATCGATATCGTCTCTAAACTTCTCGTTGGCATTAGACTCCGTCGGTTGTCTACCGCACGCGAAGACCGCACACGTGAGAACCAGGCTGGCTTTAGACCTGGTCGAAATTGTATAGACCACGTTTTCACCTTTCTGCAATTTGTAAAACACGGACAATCCTTCCGTAGACCCACCGTTTCAGTTTTCCTCGATCTGAAAGTGGCTTTCGACTCAGTCAACCGCTCCAAACTCTGGGTCTGCCTGGTTCGAAAGGGTATGCCCGAAAAGTTTATTTCAATCTTACAATCCCTTTATACTAACAACCGAGCAGCAGGGCAAGCTTACGGCACCTTTTCACCCGAGTTCACTACAGAAAGTAGTGTTCGACAGGGATAACCCCTCTCTCCATTTCCATTTAATTTTGTGATAGATTCAATTCTTGAAACAACCCAATCCTAGTGCTAGGATAGCGGTATCGATTTAATCCCAGGTGGCACTGATCTAGAGTATGCAGACAACATTGTGCAGGTAAGTTTTAAGTCTTCCAGGATAGTTTGAGTGCCAGTGCAGCCATGATCGGTATGCGTTTTGCACCTTCAAATAATAAAATGCTCCTACAAGATTAGGTTGGCCCAGCTACCAACCTCACTCGTACGGGGGAAGTAGTAGAGGAAGTAGAAAAGTTCGCTATTTGGGTAGCTATCTCATCTAGCAGACGCATAACACATGAAGAGTTAGCACGCATACAGAAGGCTCGATTGGCATTTTCGAACTTGAGACATGTGGCACCGTCGCGACTTTCGGCTGTCTATCAAAGGTCGAGTATATGCTGCGGCCGTTCGGCCAGTGCTGCTATACGGTGCAGAGTCTTGGCCACTACGGGGACATGATTTAAAAAAGCTTGTCGGTGTTTGAACAACGCTGGCAGCAAACAAAAACGGTGCACGAACGTGCATTGTTAACGGTTGTAAAAACTGTACTGAACTGAGTTAAAATTCAGTACTTCGTATGCGATTCACAAAAATCATTCATGCATGTACATTTGCCCTCAGAATCGGACAGTGTATGGTCGTAAATCCGGGAGCATGTTTGGACAATCGCGCGAATCTTTCGAAAGACTACCGATCCAGCTCTCTAGAATTTACACTGAAAAATCCACGCGCTCACATTTATCGAATAACCGAGGTGAGGACGACCACGGTCGACTCGATAACATTGTGGTAACTATGTTATTGTGTGAGATTCGACTCTAATTCAGTTTCATCATACGGTGGGTGCATCGTGTATCGTGCTCATTTGACGCGTGTAAGTTCGCGTTGATATGTAGACCTCGTCCGAAGCCCGTAGACAGAAATTCGCATTCCACCTTTTGGCGTGAACCGCTTTCGACCGTAATCGATGAGATCACATAACAATCCAGAAGCCAGCAACTCTGGACCAATATTACAACACGGTATTTCATTGTGATTTGAAATTTATAACTGGGAAACACTGGTGTTATTAGTTGTCCACTTTTAGTGCAGAATCCGAGAGAAAACAAATGAAAACCAGTAGCACCCTTATCACTAGTCAAATCCGGGATAGTTGTGGAGCAAGGTACAATTATACTCATTTGTTATAGCGTTTTGGACCAACTAAATATAGAATACATTTAGGGAATATGGGTTGACCAACATTTCATTTTTTTCAATCAAATTCGAACAAATACAACAACGAAACATGAAAGGATTCGAACTTGCCGATCAAGCTGAACATTTCTGTCACGTCATCATACCAGTTGGTCGATCATTGAATACGTCTTCTGTACGATTTCTCGTAACTCGTCGGTGAGTTAAACACAAATGACAAAAAAAAGGCCAAAACAAAAAATGCCAGGAGCGGCGTGGAATAGGGGTGGTGGGGATAAAATCGGCCGTTTGAGCCAACTAAGCGTCTGTGACTGAGCGGTTGTACCCTCTATAGACTAACGAGCCCACAACGAGCACAATGTGACCGAGAAAAGGTCGCAGGGGCCCGGAGGGATATAAATGCCGCTCGGTACGCCACAAGACAGCTTGTAGGCGATTTGTACACAACACCATATAAAAACAAAACAAGAATGCATCCATAGACTGGAAGAAATAAACAGTGCGGGAACGCATGGATCATGGAGTATGGAGGACAATCCGTACGGGACAGGAGAACAGCTGACACGAGATTCATGTGAGCTGAGGAATCTGAACCGTGGATTGTTCGGTTACTCGGCAAACAGCGATGCGATGCGATCATCCGTGACAAACATCACAAAGGTGAATTTTTATTTTAAAAAAAACAGTATCACTTTCAATGGTACCGACCTTAAGCATGGGCACTTTGGTGGCCCAATTTCGATCTCCGTCCGGGTATTGTGCTTGCAACGGATGTGGAGGGATTTTCACCCAGACTCGATGAATTTCAGCCTCATCTCCGAAGAGCACTGCGCCGAAAATTCGATCTACCACATCCAATCCGGCATCCAATGCGATAGCAGCTAGAATAATAATAAAAAACTAGGCTTGATCAAAAGAACGCACACACAACACACACTGAGACAAAAACTGATTAGAAAACAATCCAACTCACCCATCAGGGCCTCGAATGCATCTGAGCGAGCATAGATGAAAGTGGAGTCGTAACAAAAGTCCACACTGTGCGTATACAGCAGGAACTNTAAAAGAAAACAGAATGGGAAAGCTTGGTGAATGCTTGTAAGCGGTTTTCCGAATTAGAGGCTCGTGATAAACGTTGAAATGTTAGTACGAAATGCTTGTAGTTCGGTATTTTCGCTGTGTTGAAATCAAACAAACTGGCTAATCCACCAATGAATATGGACAAGCATACTGTGTGATTGATTGACAAGCACATGAAGGATTTAGAATAAAATAATACCATCACCGTAGCTTAGAACACTTCCACTGACTGGAACTACCAAACTACGAATTAACTATGGTTCACAATCAAGGATAGAAACTCCCGGTGGTGAAAGCTGTGCGAGGCCATGATGAAATTCTTTCAGATTTTACAAATCTGAACTACTTACAGCGGTACCGTGCCACTCGATCGTCCAATTTTGGTTGGGTGAAGGCTAAAACAACTCGGTAAGTTTTGTGGTAGACGGCTTAATTGACATTTGAGACATTTCCGACGAGGCTGTAGCACCTGGCTGGCTGTAAAGGGTAAACTGTGTGATGCAACACTTCGGCCAGTTCTGCTATACGGTGCAGAAAATTGACCATTACGAAAACAGAATAAAGATGGGCTGTCGGCGTTCGAAGCATTGCACGAATCTGGTAGGGCAACCAGACAGGAAAGCCTGGGGTTTGGAGCAGAGTTTTAGGTAATCACGGTCACCCGCTGGAGCAAGTGAATGACCTTCATAGATTACGCTGATTGGGATATGTGCTACACATGCCACCAAATATGTTGCCACGGCTTGTGATACTTACCGAGGGAGGTGGTGGATGGGGAAAAGTCAGGGTCGGTCAATCTAAGAATGGGGAACCCCTCTCTCCGGGCTACTCGATCATGCAGGTCGCGTTAGGCTCCCTGGTTAAGGGCTTTTAGAACATCGTGATAGATGGTAAAAGACATTGAGTGATATGGTTAAGTACCTCAAGCAGTAGCGGTGGGGCAGTTTTTTAAGCCCTTTGAAACCTAAATTCGCTAGATTATCTATCTTTTCTTTACACTACTATCATCATAGTAATTGTCCTTCTGTTCTTTTATCCAAACGGGTAGTCAGAAGACAGCAACCGAAATCGCCGCACGAAGGTGCATGATAGTAGAAACTAAAACTGACATATAGTCCGCAGTTCGGTGACAGACATCTCCACCACGTGAAGACAATGAGAAGGGCTTCCGTCGTACCGTACGAGTGATGAGACCGCGAAATAATACTCTGTTCAGCCATTGACTGACTCCATCAACTGCTTAAATGTAATGAGAGAACTCTATCGAGTGTATTGAAGAATATCATCAAACGTGGTAGCTTAGATCCAGACCTAATGTTGTTGAATCCTTGACACGATGCTCACAAAAGCGGATAGACAGTGGTTTGATAGTGCGGGGTGGGGGGAATTTCACAGTTGTCGGTCTGATAGTCTGGAGAGTGATAGATACTTCACATAGTTGTAGCAAAACATTAAGTTCGCATAAATTGGACCGACGACCTTCGAACGCATCAACTGTCAGTGACACCTAAACGAAGGATGACAAAAACAAGCATACCGATCAAAATAAATGCACTTGACTGGAACAACCGTAGTGCGTTTATTTTACTGGAAGGAGCACGGTGAGGGGCGGGGCGGGGGTAACGCTAGTGTGTTTCGTAGAACGAGGGTCAAAGTTCTGGTAAAACTGGTTCATCACGAACATAATGGTGGAAGGCGGATTGGTCGAACACAGTGAGAAAGCGGACGGATCGCTAGTCAATGTAATCTAAGCATAAGTTGGAATGACGAAACCTCAAGTAAAAAAACGTCCAACTGTGGTCGGGCTGTATTTTGCATATTCCGAAAGCCTATACGAGGCTAGAATAAATACTAGACAATTTCTTAGTTCTACACTGAATAACAAACTGAGAGAAAAAGAGGAACAACTACATGTAGGAGATTGTTTTAACATTGTTAACTGTTTCAAACCGTGGGTACTATCAGTCATTCTAGTGTGTTGTTGCGAATGGTGCAGCTCGTGTATGTGCTCATTAACCTTGCGACCCCAGTCTATATGAATTCTCTATCTTCTCTTTGACTCTGCTCTTAACATACTGCTTTTGTATCCAAATAGGCAGCATTAGGACAGCGATCAAAACGGGTACACAAAGATACATGGTTATTGGTTGTGGAATCTGAAACTAAAGTGGAATTTGTGTGTTTGGGCCAAGGAAGGAAGGGTGTTTGCGAACACACCACTCAGTTTTGTTTCTAGGCCAAAACACCTCATGCGATCGTGGTTATTTTTTGGGGAAAATAGCTCACCTTGAGAGAAGATATTGATCACGGGATGGAAATGGCACTTAATTGAAGCTCGGCAAAATTTGCTTTAATCTATGAGGAAGCAGTGCAGTCAGAAAACTCATATCCTTGAGGTATCGATCGCACTTCAGTTGTGCCAAAGATTTCTTTCTTTTTGTGCTCCACAAACCTCAATGTGATCAAGGACGGGTCCACTGGGTTGGTTGCGACTGTTCATCCTTCCCTTGTGCCTCCCGAAATGCTCCTGCACGGCAAAGTGCCTCAAATAGCCTCTGCTGGGGAACGCTGCGCACTACCTTCCCGTGACGAAGATATTTTTTCACCCAAGTAAGGAAACGAAAAATCAATACCCCGGATTATAATGGAGTGGGTGAACCATTGACAGATCAACGAAGAGCTTTGGTTAAAACAGCGACTGCGACGGAGGCACACGGATTCCGGCAGCTCAAGAAGGCGTTAGTTTACGTGGCAATGTGCGAGCACATTATCTATCAGGTGCAACTCAGAGCTCCATATCAAAATTTCAACAAAAACTGTTGACGATGTCATGTACAATCGAACGACCATTGGGGAATTTTTTACCGCTGGTGCATCTTCTGAAAGAACTTACTTGAGAAGCAATGAAAATTTGAAGGCAGTTA